CCAAGGAACCTGCATATCACAGGTGACTGGGCAGCCTGACAAGCTCTACCAGAGTGTGACTGTGCGCACGCACACAGACACACACACACACACACACACACACACACACACACACAGGAAGTATGTCCCACCCCACCCACCTGAGCCCCACCTCCCCACCCTCTCCTTACTGCCATTCATGGCTCCTACGTGGGCCTCCGGCTCTGAGAAGCCTCCAGAGGCCTGGCTGGACTCAGCCCCCCTGCTACCAGCAGCTGCCGCTCCCACTGGGAAGGTGGGGCTGCCTCCAGTGACCCAAAGAGCAGTCCTCTAAAGGCCACCAGGGTGGATTACAGCAGAATCAGGACGCAACGCTCCACTCTCCATCTGCCCTTTAGAAAGACAGTCCTGGGTGGGAAGGCTCGGAACAGACACACGGCCTCCCGGTGGCTTAGATAAGTGGCGTGGGTCAGGGAAATAACCGTGAGCAAAATGGCTATTTCTGTGGTGCTGTTGACATCCTGGGGAGAAGAGCCCAGAAAGGAAGGGTCAGTTGTTTACCGGGAGGCTGGCTCTGCCCTCATTTGGGCCTGAGTCACCTTCTCATGTCCATTCGTGAGGTTGTGCCTCCCTGAGCCCACATAATAGCTCCTGTGCAGACAGAGCAGGATTACATGGTTGACACACGATCCTTGGGCCACTGCTGAGCCTTGGCTACTCAGGGATTATGATCCACCTGTCCTCACAGCTGTTTCATAAACAGTGCAGCCAGCAGGCTGCAATCAACCTAGAGCAGCGGTTCTCAACCTGTGGGTCACAACCCCTTTGGGGATCGAACGACCCTTTCACAGGGGTCGCCTAAGACCATCGGAAAACACATATATAATTACATATTGTTTTTGTGATTAATCACTATGCTTTAATTATGTTCAATTTGTAACAATGAAAATACATCCTGCATATCAGATATTTACATTATGATTCATAACAGTAGCAAAATTACAGTTATGAAGTAGCAACGAAAATAATTTTATGGTTGGGGGTCACCACAACATGAGGAACTGTATTAAAGGGTCGCGGCATTAGGAAGGTTGAGAACCACTGACCTAGAGGGAGGGTAATATTTATTCATTAAATAATTAAACATCCTGAACTCATAGAGAAAACGAATCCAATCCCTTAGTCCTGTTCTGCCAGAGGGAGAAGAGGCAAATGATACCTTCTGCTGGTGTGTTTGGGGGAGGGGAAAGCCTGATGGGGAGGGGGGGTGGGGCTGCAAGGGGAGCATCCCAGCGCATGCATCTGAGAAACTACCTGGACCCAATACATTCAGGGAATTTCATTCTGTACCCTGAACCAAACTATGGTTAGCCTTAGCCTCAACACGCATACTCCAAACTGTAGTCTATCGAACAGAAAAGGTTGGAAGGCTTGGAAAACACTGCATACTATCGTCCCTTATGGGAAGTCGTGCACAATTCATACTAGCGGATTCTAAACATCTGAGAAGTCCTGCAGTAAAGAAAGCTGCTTACCTTTGTTTAACCCAACAGGCTTATTTTACCCTCCCCACCCCTGCCATCACAGGAAAAGGACCTATTAATATCCCGTGGCCTGGGCTTTGGAAAATGCCTTCCACTATGAGCCTTCATTTCCCAACCAAGAGAAAGCTGTCTTCCTGGGCCCAGCTATGGGTGTGAGACCCATTCCATCGGGTCCAGTGGGAGATAGGCAGCACCCCCGCTAACATGACACAGGATGGAACAATGGGCAAGGGTCCCACAGCCAAAGGGATTCAAGATCCTCCAGAATAGAGGTGGTTTAAGAGGAAACTGGCTCTGTCTCAGGAGGGCAAGCTCCACTCAGGACCCCACAGTTCCACCTTTCGCCTAACATGTCCGTGCTCCTCATGGCCTAGAAGTCCCCTATACTGAGAAGCACAGGTCCCAAGCTCAAAGCCCTATTTCCCTTCTGAAGAAACAGTAAGACAATCTATGATAACCAGGCCCAGGACCTATATGTCTTGCCTAGGAGACCAGAATACTTTCTCTTTTATCACTTAAGTGCCCCTTCAAACACCCAGGAACAGGAAAGGCTGGAATCCAATTATGTCCCCTCCCCAAAAGGATGCTGTGGGCTTGCTATCAGGGTTCATTTTCGGTTGCATTTACTGTACATGACTCACATGGGAGTTGGCCAAAGGGGTTTCATCTGTTAACTATCGGCTCCATGATAGACCTTGCCCATCTCATTCACTACTGTGTTCCTATGCCCGAAATATAGTAGGCATCAGTAAATATGGTGAGTGAAGACATAAAACAATAAATAAGTGGATGAGTTCATAATTAATCTACTTATAGCAGGGGTCCTCAAACTACGGCCACATGCAGCCCGCCGAAAACATTTATCCGGCCCACCGGGTGTTTTTTGCCACCGCTGTGTGCATAGGAATTTGTTCATAGTTTTTTTTTTTTAAACTATAGTCCGGCCCTCCAACAGTCTGAGGGACAGTGAACTGGCCCCCTGTTTAAAAAGTTTGAGGACCCCTGACTTATAGTATGCTCAGAGTCATTACAATGTATGGTTAAAAATATGGACTCTAGCCAGACTAACTAGGTTTGAATCCTGTTCCATGACCTTGAGCAAGTAACTTCTAAACTTCTCTGGCTCAGTTTTATTCCCTATAAAATGGGGCTAATAATAGTACTGACCTCATAAGTCGCCATGACAATCAAATTAGTTAGCATGTGCTTTACAAGTGTTATCTATCAACATCATTGTCACCATGACATCAGATACGGGAGAGTCCAACTGAGAACATGAACATGAATTTTCATCTGGACAGTGTGTCCTTTTATTCAACAATATTTATGGAATATTATTGTGTGCCTGGCTCTCTCTCTCAAGCTCTCCCTACTTAGGTACAAGGAAAAAGAAACCATGTTTAAATGTGAAATCTGATCAGGAGAAATAGCCTTCTCTATGAATGATACTTCTTGCTGAGTTTGCATGGCCAGCACTCCAGCCCTGAGCCCATCCTCTTATGCCCTAGACCCTCGTATATCAAAGCCCAAAGCCATGGTCTCCTGTCCTAGGTAGGGAGCCAGCACACAGAAGAACGAAGAGATTAATATTTGGGGGGAAGAACCAGGAAGGCCAGTGAGCAGCTTTAGGGAGGAAAGGGTATCTTCCTGCTTTTCTCTGAGGCTACTGTTTTATCTTCCCATTATCTGGGATTGATTCTGAGGCCATCTGAAGATTAATTCGCCTAGTGCAAGGGACAAAGGAACTAGGCCTCATCTCATACCATTTCTTGACCCAGCTGAGAGCCACTCCCTCCTCATCCAGGATCTCAGAAGGACTGAGGTGGGCTGAGAGGCCCAAGAATCTTCCAGAAACCCACCTATGCAAGCCCCATGATTTTTAGACAGGGCAGCCTCCTACCATCACCCTCAGAGTTGCAGCCAGGCCAGGCTAACGACCCCAAAACTGCTGTCAGCCCTCAGGAGGTGAGAGCTGATGGGGCTCTGTCGGCCTGGCTCCATGGCTTCAGGACCACCCGGCATTAATGCTTCACAGCCAGGGAGGAATTTCTCCCATGAGGGTTCCAGCTGCAGCCAGCTTCTCCCTGAAGATGGATACACATTGGAAACCACATCCTGGGGGAGAGCCAAGAAGGGTGTAGGACAGTGATGGCGAACCTATGACACGCGTGTCAGAGGTGACACGCGAACTCATTTTTTTGGTTGATTTTTCTTTATTAAATGGCATTTAAATATATAAAATAAATATCAAAAATATAAGTCTTTGTTTTACTATGGTTGCAAATATCAAAAAATTTCTATATGTGACACGGCACCAGAGTTAAGTTAGGGTTTTTCAAAATGCTGACACGCCGAGCTCAAAAGGTTCGCCATCACTGGGTAGGACCATGCTAAAATTCCTCCCACTGCTTCCAGCGTTCACCTTAGCCCCTTTGCTATTTGTTATCACTAAGCTCAAACACATACAAGGATCTAAGGCTCTGGGGAAATGACGCTCTGGTTGGCAAGCCTCGCCTACTCCAGGGCCTCTGGGAAGTTCAAGGGCAGAAGGCAGACAGCCAGAACACAATACACATCCCTTACAGGGAGAGAGCCAGAGGTAAGGATGAAGGCCTGAACCGACCACATCACCATGTCATCCCGCCTTCCCCCTGGCTCCAGGTGGAAGTCCACCTCAGCAGTGAGCATCGGGCCAGTCCTCAAGCACCTAGAAACTTATCCCCGGCGCTTAAGTGGCGGCAAATTTAATTTTTCTAAACCTTGAGAACCCAGTTTAGGCCGCCGGGGAGCTGAGATGCGGCTGGCTCACCTGAGGCCTCAGGAGCCCAGGCCACCGCAGAGACAGGACCCGGAGCCTAGGCGAGGACCCCGGGGGGGAGGA